CGCGCCGGAGGCGCGCGGGGCCGCGCTGAGTGGCAAGTTGTTTGTTCCCGGGTAGCCCAGCTGCTCGGCCCCGCCCCCCCGGCCCGGCCCGGCCCGGCCCCCACAGCGGGCCGGGTCCCCTGAGCCCCGCTGGGGGAAGCGGCCAGCAGGAAACGGCCCGGGCTTCTGGAGAGCGAGCGCCGGGGACGCGAGGAAGAGCTGCCCGCAAACACCCGCTGGGGATTTGTTCTGGAGAAACATCTGCTTTACTCGGCTGTGGGCCGCAGACGTGTAAAGACAAGCACAATAGAAGACGTATTTCTGAGAAGAATTTCTGGATATTAGGGGAAAGTGTGGCAGCCTCCTCCTAAGACTTATCCCCAAAAAAGTTTCTAAGAGATGCAATGACTGTCAACCTATCTGCTTCCTCCTCATAGCATTTTTTTAATGAGTACATTTTTCCTCCAAGATAACACTTATTTAATACCAAAACTTCACAAACACTAATGTTCTGGCTACTGCAAGTGATGAATATCCACAGACCTTACAGATGTTTGTATAAACTGCATGTGCTCAAGAAATGAGGACAGAGCGGAATAAAGATCAACTTTTATACAGGCTGAGCTAGTTTGAAGAAATACATTTTCCTAAATTCTTACTATTTTCCCTGGACAAAGAATTTGTTTCTCACTCTGACTTTTGGGAAGAAGCCTATATCGAAGGGGACACAGACACTGCCCCTCCTTTCCATAGTCTCACCCTGATCACATTGCATCATTCCAGTGTCCTGCCTGGGAGCCAGAGTCTGGAGCCATTGGCGCCCTGAGCACTTCAGCTGATCTCTCTGCAGCTGCACCAGCAGCGCAGCCCTCCCCGATGGCACCACCACAAATGTAGCTGAAGAAAAGTTGTGTCTTTCTCACTTGCGAGCAGAATGTGTGTACAGGAAACTGAATTCTCAGAAGGTGGAGCTTCAGAAGAAGTTAATTTTGCATTTTGTTATAAGATTTCGGGTTCCTGTATTCCACAGCCCTGAATAAACCATCATTTCTCTTTCCAAATCTCCCTCCTTTGTTTGATAGTTCCATGTACTGCAAGATTATATCTGTGATGGCCACAGAAATACATTCCTCAGGTAACCTAACCCACACGTTGAGGATTTTGGAGCGTTACGATCAAAAGTGGTATCATGGTCTCAGTCAAGCAAATGAGAGTTTGCTTTTGACTTGAGCGGGTGCAGCATGTCACACCTAGACACTCAGCTTTAGTGTATGTGTCCTAGTAAGCCAGGGAAGCAGCTCACAGTCCTGGGTGAAACAGGCTCCAACAGCTTGTGCCTTCACGGGCAGCTGTTGCTGCAGTGTGCATCAGAGCTGGTGCTCATGTTCCTGACTATAGTGAATTTTTAGTGATGGTCTAGAGAGCAGAGCAGCTAAATCAGAATCCAGCAGGATCAGTCCAAAAGCTGCTATTTTGTCACCAGAGCTGTGGGATGGTTGAAGCAGGGAGCAGAACGACTCTGTGCTCCTGCCTTCCCCATGCAACTAAGTATCTTGACCCTGATGTTTCTGAAAACAACTTTTAGATCTCTGTATTCTTTACTGAACAATGTTCTCATCTGAGAAAAAAAATCAGATAAATTTAATGGTAAATTAAGAAATACGGTCACCATATTCTCAATCCTTCTCTTTGATTTGAAACTCGTGTTCTTGCTTCGCTGTCTCTAGTATCTTTACTAGGCTTTCTGCAGCACTTTCATTTATGAGGTTTGTGGTCTCTTGTGTCTTTCTTGCCTGAGTGTCACACTCTATTGGTAGAACTGAGACCGCTTTCTGAGAGGAGATTTGACGTCTGCACAGCTCACTGGCACCTGGCAGGACAGGCCTGTGGGGCGCCTTGTGCAGGGCCCCCTGCGGGCAGCATGGTGTGAGTCCGCAAAGGCCAGAAGTATGAGTGCACCTTAGCATGTTTTTTTGACAACTAATTTGTTTACTGAAAAACTCACTCAAAAATATCAGGGAATTAATGACAAATGTCACAAAAATGTGATTCACAAAGTCCAAGCAAAAAATGCAACTACTTTGTTTTGACTTCTTTTTAAACAGTCCAAAAAGTAATATCAAAATTAATAGTGTGTGTCAAATCAAGAAAAAAAAAAGCCTCAATCAAAAAGCCATGCTTAGTGCCTGGTCACCAGTCTGAAAAATCAGTTTAGAGCACTCAGTCTGAAGAGTTGGTAAAACAAATATAAAAGGAAAAGTGGAAAATCAGCTATTCTCGTACATCTAGGTGGCGACATTATTGGATAGCAACTTGATAAAATGTTGGGAGAAGTGGAAATATAGTTAAACCTGTAGTTCTCGGGAGACACCGCATGGAGGCGCTACCTGCATTCAAAACGAGCAACTGAGCAACTTCCCGTTCCCCTTTCAAGGTTTGAACGAAAATGTCTTTCAGTGGGGAAATTTAATCAGCAACAGGGCAGGAAAAAATATACAAGTCGGCATTTTATATATGAGCTTTCACAGTGCTCCTGGACATAAGCCATCAAACCCATGGCCACGAGTGCCCTTCACTAGATCTCCTGCTGCCGACCCTTACAGAGCATCTTGTGGTCGGTGCTGGACCATGATCTGGCACTGCCCTTCCAGCTTCCAGCAGGCCAGAGGCTGCAGCGCTTCGGGAGCAAGACCCAGACGCTGCACGGCTGCCTCTCTGTGACGTGAGGTTCTACTGAGGCGCACAGGGAAGACCCCGAGCCCTTTGCTCCCTACCCTCACTGTTGCCGCTCTGAAGCTGTAGCCAAATTTCTTCTCGCCCTGCATAGTCAGTGCTCCAAGTTAGGCTCTTGAGTGTCTAATGAAAAACAGTATGAGTATCTACTTGTGATTTAGGAGGTGACTCTCACTCCAGTGGCCTCCTAGCTTTCTAGTTACCACTGGGAGATGTTTTCTTTTCCTGGAGGACATTTTGTTCCTGAATTTCCACTGTACAGCTTGCTGATGAAGGGACTGGAGTGGCTCAGTAAATTCCTGCTTCCTCACCCCTAACTGAACCCTTTGCAGTCTGTCCCCAGAAGGTCTTCAAATGCTTGTTTTGTTTTGTTTTTCTTTGTTATTCTACAGTCAGCAACTCCCTTTTAAAAGATAAATAGTGCCAAGGATGAAGTAGAGCCCTGAGAGTGCCCTTCCTGTGAAGAGAAGGTACTAATGCCTCAGCAAGGTCCCTAAAGAGAGCAAACACAGCAGTGATGGCGGCACACGTGTTGCTGCTTGAGAGACAGGGCACAGGCAAGCAGAAAAACAGGAATGGCCCAGGGACAGGTCAGACAGGAGCACTGTAACATGTTCTTCGTGG